TGGCATGTTGGATGCCATCCTCTTCCCGGATGAGTACTGAGCTGATGGCTGCCGGGCTAACACCCATGTAAAGGTATAGGGTCTCCCCCACATTAGGTTTAGAGAGCACAGGGGGTGAAGATAAGTACCTTTCAGTTCCTCGAAGGCCCCCTGACACTCTGAAGTCCACTGGAAACCGATGGTCTTTCTCATGATCTGGAAGAAGGGTAAGGACTTTTCCGTCGATTTTGATAGGAAGCGATTGAGGGCTGCCAGGCGGCCTGTCAACCGTTGGACCTCCTTCACGTTGCGTGGGGGCTCCATGTTGATGATGGCCTGGATCTTCTCGGGGTTGGCCTCGATACCCCTTCGGCTCACCATGCAGCCTAAGAATTTGCCCCCTTGTACGCCGAAGGTGCACTTCTTCAGGTTTAGCCGAAGGTTGAACTTCTGCATGATGGCGAAGATTTCCCTTAGGTTGTCAGCATGGCTTGCTGATTGCTTGCTTTTGACGATCATGTCGTCAACATATGCCTCCATGGTGCGCCCTAGGACAGCTTGAAAGACCCTGGCCACCATCCAGGTGTATGTGGCGCCTGAGTTCTTTAGGCCAAAGGCCATAACAAGGTAGCAGAAGATGCCCTCGGGAGTCATGAAGGCTGTTTTTTCAGCGTCTTCCTCATGCATAAAGATCTGATGATACCCGCGGAATGCGTGGAGAAATGACATGATTTCACACCGCGCGGTTTCATCTACAAGTTGATCAATATTCGGAAAGGGAAAGGGGTCCATGGGACACGCCTTGTTGAGATCTGTGTAGTCCACACACATGTGGAATGAGGGCGGTTTTTGTGCGAGGACTACGTTCGCCAGCCATGAGGGGTATTTTACCTCCTTGATGTGCTTGATAGAGAGGAGCATGGCGACCTCCTTCTTCACAAATTCCCTCCTCTCGACCGAGAGGGGTCTTCTCCGTTGTTGTACTGGTTTAGCCGAAGGATCCACCGAGAGGCAGTGGGTGATGACCCTTCAGCTGATTCCTGGCATGTCCTCCGGCCCCCATGCAAAAACAATGGAGTAGGCGTGGAGGGCGCTGATGATGCCGGTCTTCAAGTCTTCGGGGAGCTGGGCTCCAATCTTCACGATTCTCTCCGGCTTGGCCGGATCGAGCGCAAAGTCTTCTACCTCCTCGGCTGGTTCAGCCCTCGGCCTCCTTTCTTCCTCTTCCACAGTTCCGGTGATGGTGTCAACGCGGAATTCCGTCTTGCTAACCTTCTTCGTCACTTGAAGGTAGCAAGCACGAGCAAGCTTTTGATTCCCCCTTGAGTAACCGATGCCTCCCTCGGCTGGGAACTTGAGGCAGAGGTGCCTCATGGAGATGACGGCTTCGAGATCCTCGAGGGCTGGCCGGCCGAGGATGATGTTGTGGGCGCAGTCGATGTTGACAACGATGAACTCCACTTCGAGCTTGGCTCTATGGAGCCCGTCGCCGAAAAGTACCGGGAGGGTTATGACCCCCTCGGAATCAATGGTGTCGCCGGTGAAGCCGGCAAGAGGGGTCTTGATGGGCCGAAGGGACCCCCTCTCCAGATGCAGCTCTCTGAACGTGCTGAGATACATTACATTGACGGAGCTGCCCGTGTCAACGTAAGTTCGGTGAATGATGGTGTTGTTGATTTCGCTTTGGATCACCAAAGCGTCCCTGTGAGGAGAGGAAGACGGGGGGAGATCGGCGTTGGTGAATGTGATGGGTTCTTCCCTCAGCCGCTTTACAGGGGGCATGTGAGTGACTTCCCCCACGTAAAGTGATTGAGCCCACTTCTTTCGTTGACTGGTAGAGTCGCACCCGGTATTGCCCCCAGTGATCATGAGGATGTGGCGCTTCTTTTCTTGGTACCGAGGGTATTCTTCCTTCTCTTCTTCCAGGTTCCCAATCTCCCTCTTCTTGTCGAGGGGGATGGTGTTGGGGTTGACCCATGCGTTTGCTTTCCCAAGGTGCCCTCGGGGTGGCCCTTGGTAAGGGGGACCCTGTTGCTAAGGGTGGCCCTTGATAAGGGGGACCCACCTTTCGATGACCGTCTTCAGCTGATGGCAGTCATCGGTTTTGTGCCCCTGATGCCGGTGGAAGCGACAGTAGGGGTAGTTTGGATTGATGGCATATACCTCCGGGGGTGCGCGGGAATCTTCCTCCACCCGACCCCTCTCCTCAGCGAAGTCGAGGATGATGCTAACGGGGTGCGTCAAAGGTGTCCGAGGGTGCTCCAGGAGAACAGGCTGTGCCCAAGCCCTCGGGTTCCCCTTGTAATCTCCCACGGGCTTGGCTTGGCCGTGCCGAATCCTTGGGTTGATTACGGGGAGCCCCCGGCCCCCGGTTGCCTTTGTCGTCTGGCCGAAGGCATTGCTGATCGGGGTTGTGATGGCATTTTTCCAACTCCTCGGCTTCGGCGTACCTGTCCCCCCGTTGTAGGGCCCTTATATAATCGCGGGGGGGGGGGGGGGGGGGTCGATGATGAGGCTCCTTGAGAAGTTTCCGGGGCGGAGTACTGTTTGGAGGAGGGCCAGGAGGGTCCCGTCGTTTGCGCCATCAACTTTATCAGCCTCCGTTCTCCAGCGCTCAAAGAAGTCCCGAAGGGTGTCCTCTTTCCTTTGCCTCACTATCAGCAAGTGGGAGAAGTGTTTTCTTGTACGGCGCCTTCCCGCAAAATGTGTCAAGAATCGCTGGGCGAGTTCTTGCCATGAGTCGATGCACCCTTCGGGCAATCGATTGAACCATTCGTAAGCCGGCCCCTCTAAAGTGGAGAGGAACCAGCGACACAAATACTCGTCCGATGCCCCCACCATCATCATACTGTTTTGGTACCCATTGTAGTTCTCCTGGGGGTCAGTCTTTCCGTCGTAGGGCTTGATGAGTTGCCCTCGGTATTTTTCCGGGATCCGGGCCGCCAATACCCTTGGGGTAAACGGCGTCCGGGTCCGGAGTTGTATGGTGGGTTCCCCGGAGCCCTCGGTTATCTTCTTCTGCATCTCCTCCATCTTGGCCAACATGGCCTCATACTTCAGGTCTGTATGAGGGGCAGAAGTGGTGACGTGTGCTTTGGTGGCCTCCATCTCGTCAAGCCGGCGCTGGAGGGCCGCGATGATTTCGTCACGGGGAGCCTCCGCCCCCTGCGAACAGACGCGGGCCGAGTGGGCCTGGTTGATGTGGTGGCGGGCGTCGTCGGCATGGAGGGGCGCCTTGCCTTTGTCTTGAGGGGGACGTCTTTCATTAGCCCTGGAGACGGATCCGCCACTTTCCTGAGGCCTCTGGAGCACCTTCCCCCTGAGGCGGTCTTGGACCCCTCGGCGGTCTTGCGCCCCTCCGAGTCTCTCGAGGGCGGAGGTCCGAGGCTGTTCCTTGTTCATGTTGTGGCGGTCCCGGGATTGGACTTCCTGGGAGGCCGTATCTTGGGCCACGACCCCCTCGACGTTCCCAATCCGAAGGACAGGGTTCCCGAGGGGGTGTGGATGAGGGGGAGGCATGATATTCTCCCTGACCTGAGGTTGGAGGGGAACCAAAGTGCCGAAGGAACCCGGATTCTGGGTGAGCGTCTCGATGAAGGCGGAAAACGCCGACTGTACGTTGAAAGTGATGACCGGAGGGCTAACTTGGTTCTCGCTCCGGTCCTTCTTCTTGGCCTCGATGCCGAGGCGGGCATTGGGGGCATTCTGTTGAATCTGATGGCGTAGGTCGACAGCCGTCTGGTCCAACCCGGCGATGACGCCGCCCCCGGGAGCCCTGTTAGAGGCTTCGTGGACGTCGAATTCGCCGAGGGCCAGGTTCGTGTCCTCAACGTTCTTGGAGTTGGCACGAGTTGTTCTTACCATTTTCGCCAGGTGTTTTGTGTTTGGCGAGGGGGAGGGTCTCCTACTTGATTATTCGACCTCTCAACGAGAGCACCAAATGATGGATAGTCTACCCGGGGGTATGTATCCGAAGGGTTACTGCGGGGAGTGACTAGAGAGAAGTCAGAGCAAAAGTAAGAGAGAGAGTGTATTGCTGAGAATGTAGTGTGCGAATTTAGCTTGGATTACAAATGGAAAAAAGGGCGCTATTTATAGTAGTAATAAATGTCAGATAGGGACATGTGTCATCATTCTGGTGGTCGAGGGGTCACCTCAACGGGGTGGCACTGGCATCCGCATGTGGCCGCATTAAATGTGGCTGTTGGATGTGACGTCGTACTTGGTACGGTTATTCAGGCGCATATGGAGAGGATATTATGTCGAGAAAGGCGCCTTCGGCTGCAGATGATTAGCCGAGGGCTCTGAGTACCGGGAACCTCCTTCTGCAGTGTCTTAAAAAAATTCACCAAATTATTATACAATTCAATGTACAAAAATAAAAGCTACATATTTGATGAAAGAGATAAGTGATAAGACTGATAAGGGGAAACACATAGGCTATGTTTGGTGGACATAAGTTCTTGCCTTTTAGCTTTTGTACTATTTAAAAAATCTTTAAAAGCTTTTAGTTGTATGTTTGACACACCAATTTTTATGAGCTTTTATAAAAATAAAAGATTTTTTTTGAGATGCTACAATGAGTAGCATCTCAGGTAAGTTCGTAGTTTCTAACATTAATTAATCCTAACAGCTTGTATACCAAATAGAGCTAAATCAAACAGTCAGCTTTTTACCAAACAGCTACTGCCTTTTCTTTATAAGATCTTTTCAGTCACTAAAAGCTAACAGTTACTAAAAAGCTCATAAAAGTATCTTTTCAGCTAATTGTGCCAAACATACCCATAATGTTATCAAACATCTAGTCAAAGTTTTTTGGTGAGAAATTTTGGTGATAATAATAAATCACAAAACCCCCTCTCCAGACGTCCTTACGGACGTCTCGGGTTCGACATTCAATGGATTGAGTTTCAGGGTAAATTATTTGAGAGACTCTAAGCCCCCTCCCCAAACGAGTAAAAAAAAAAATAATACAAGTAAATGACAAAGCACAACCTACCGAATACCCATCCCCAATACAAACTTGATACTGCTGCAGCGGCTGTCTATAGTGCTGTTTTCGGCTGTCACCACACAACACAAAGTAGATGGGATGGAAAGGCTTTTGTCTTTTGTGTCTGTTGTGTTCCTCAGAACCACTCGATCCTATCCTTCTTCCTCTTTTACCGCCCATGCTACTCTCACTTTTTGAATTCCCACACTCCACCATCTCTTTTACCTGTTTTTTTCTTCCTCCTTCATACCCTGAAGTGAAGTATGCTTAACCGTCTTCATACCGGTGGCCTCAAACATTCACAATGTCTTTTTGAAGCTATGGTGGGGTTGCGTTATGGACTTCACTCCCATCTCTTATAAAGCACTCCCACTTTATCCATCGGCTTTCCAGTTTAGCTCAAGCACCCAGCCAGATAAGCCTCTGGTTGCAAGTTTCAATCTTTGATTTATTTATTTATTTATTTAAGCCGGCCTTGATATTTTCCCAGAAACTATGGCTTTAATTTCCCAGAAATTCAGTTTACCCCCCTCCCCCCCTCGGAATTCATATTACAAGCTGCTGCAAACTAGACCTAGAATTCAGTGTTTAGCAAGCCGGGATTCCACCACTTTTCTGTCTGCATCTGTTAATGTAAATGGTAGCCCCTCCAGTGATGTGCAGTTGAGGTCTGGGGATGAAGGTCTGGAGGTTTTGTGGGACGATGGATATGGGACTATAACTGTTAAGGATTATTTTGAATTAGCTAAAGAGATTATTAAGGCTGATGGTGGACCTCCGCGGTGGTTTTCACCAATCTCCTCTGGTCCTCCTATCAAACACTCACCCCCACTCTTTTTCTTGCCCGGTAAGCCGCTGTTATGTGTGTTGTGCCACCTGCTGTGCTCAACTGAGCTACTCCCATATATGATTATACTGAAACGCATTTTTAATCCACACTCCCTAAAACTTCTTCCATTCCACCTAGTATATTCAATTATTAATTAATAATAGTAACAACCACAACAATAATGATAATGATAATAATAGTAATAATAACCATAACAAAAATTGTAGTTTTGATGGAAGATGAAGGCTTGGTTGGGTTTTTTTAGGGGATGATTGTTTCTTTTTTATCCATATTTGTTATTTTTAGATTTAAGACAACTATATCTTCAGTTAAAACAATGCTTTACTACCCAAAAAAATAAGAACTTGCTTCAAATAGGAGTGAACACGAGTCACGTGCATAGATAGAAGTCGTCTTGATAAAATAAATATCACCCTTCCCCGCTCTCCCTTTCAGCATCCCCTTCCAGACAGGGGTTAGGTAAATCACAACCGGATGCACTATACACCCTGTTGAACCACATATATTGTGCCTAGAAAGGATATAGGTTGAAATATGAGATGCAGAAACTTTCCATGGCCCCTTTGATAATTGTTTATGTGAAGCCGTGCAAGTATTAGGGTTCTTTCACATTTTGCACTAGCTAGGTTTCAATTTTAACATTTCTAGACATAGTGTACTCTTTATTTGTTATGTTAACTTCCTTGGTTTCCGATAAGAGAAGCTTGCATTCTGTGTATGCAGGAGCTGATGGAACTGGATTAGGTCTCGCGTTGCACCAAAACGCATTGGGGAAGTATGTTTATATACATTATGAACCATACACATGTTTTTTGTAATTCTTGCTGTGCGGTAGTAAAGGACTGCCCTTGACGATAGAGCAGTCCCGGTTAGTCTGTGCATCTATAGAAGGAGAACCTGGATACTTTCATTATGATTGTCGAGTACTAATAAATGACAACCAGATTTACTGTGTCCTTCATTTGAGAAATTCATTTTACTTATGACAGTTTCTAAAACAGTTCTTATGAACTCTCCAGTGTCCACATTCAGTGTGTCATTTCAATTGTTATGTTCTTTTATTGGCAGAGTGTTTGAACTCTGGTGCTTGCATATTCCCGTGCACGATCGAACTCCATTTGAAGGTCATCCAACTTCTCTTGCTTTGAATTGCAGCGGGTAGCATTTTGTAGCTTTTTTATTTGTTTGTTAGGTTTACTTTATTATACCAAACTGAGTCTCTCACCTCTATAATGCTCTTCTCACAAACCTGGAGTGGGCCATACTTTTCATATTCAGTTATAAGTGCAGAAATTGTTGATGGAATTCAAAATTGAGTCGGGACTAGGCATTGGGTGGTAGATTACACTAAGATCCCATCCAATTGATTTCTCAATTCTCACTCAAGGCCTTAACCTCTATATCTCTCTAACATTTATGTATGACACTCTCTTAACAATTGTATTCTGAGCTATATTTCCTTTTTCAGGGTTGATAAGAGTTATTGAACAAACTATAAGGATGAAGCATGCTTCATCTCCCAATATGCCTATTTATCTAGTGGGAGATTCATTTGGAGGATGCTTAGCACTTGCTATCGCTGCTCGTAATCCTAAGATTGACCTTGTTGTGATATTAGCTAACCCAGGTTGCTTTTTGTTTTTAGCAGTTTCATTCTTGTGGTAATTCCAGTACAAAGCTTAGTGCTATTACATTCTGAAGATGACAACGGTTTTTACTTTTATTTTAGCAACTTCATTCGGTCGGTCACAGCTGCAACCATTGTTTCCTTTGCTGGAAGCAATTCCCACTAGTCTTCAATTTACTGTCCCTTATCTTCTCAGCTTAGTTATGGGTATGTTTATGTTCCTTTTCTTTCTGTATAGCCTACCTAGGATGTTTTTTTTTCTAAAATCAGCTTGCGAGTTAGCATGAATAGCATCATAATTTATGGTGGTTGGTTTTTCCAATGTGTTCAATGGTTCCTTTGGAACTCGGGAGTACTACAACAACAACATCCAAGCCTTAGTCCCAAAATAATTTGGGGTCGAACTCGGGAATACTAAGGAAAGAAAATAGAGAGCAGATTATGGAAGAAAGTTTGGAAGTATAAAGTGTAGTGGATTATAAAACATTGATTAACTCGTTTTTTATTTGTTCAATTCATTTGTTTTGATTTCTCTCTTATATAAATGCTAAGAAATCTAAATATATTTAATAAAATGAGAAACTTTATTCACATTTCATTTCACTTTGCAAGTTTGCATTTTCTTAGGTAAAAGCAAAACATAGGATAGTAAATTTCCCTAAGTTTTTCTTTCCTTTCCCTAACACTTTCTGGAATCAAAACATAGCATAAGGAAATGATTTACAATAAAACTAATCGTGGTTAATCAATCAGGATTGAGATTGGCACAACTAAAATGGACTAGTTTAAACCTCTTGCAAGAGAGGATTAGCCAACTTAGCCAATTTATGATTGTTGTGCTTGTAGGCTTAGTCTGTTTTGTAAAATGTTTTTGTGTGAAAAATGTTGTCCTAGAAAACATTAAACTGTTTCAGAAGAATGACTTTGTGTTCTATCCAAAAGATCAAAAACTCGCATAAAATATGTATTAGTGGAATATTTTTCGTTGCCAAACAAAGGAAAAATCTTTTCAGGAAAAAGGTTTTGTTGCCAAAAACAGGACAATCCAGAAAAAATATTCGAGGAAAGTAATATTCCAGGAAACAATTGGAGCCTGAGTTGTACTCTTTGTTGTTGCATCAGGTGATCCTATGAAAATGGCAATGGTTGGTATTGATGCTTCACTTCCTCCTACACGCATTATTGAACAACTCTCTGCCAAACTTACATCTTTGATCCCCATTCTTTCTGTGAGTGTTGCTTGAACTTTCTGTGCTTCTTATTTTTCCCTATTTTCGCGATAAGCATTGTAAAAAAAGGGCAGCCCAGTGCACATTGGCGTCCCCGCTAGGCAAAGGTCAGGGGAAGGGTCCCACCACACAGGTGTATAAGGGACAAGCCTTCCCTTATCATTTTGACAAGAGTCTGCTTCGAAGACTTGGACCCGTGACCTCTCAGTCACACAACAACACCGTAACCGGTGCGCAGAGAGGCTCCCCTTCTTCGTGAGAAGCATTGTATTTAGGCAAAATGCTAATCATAGTCTATTGTTACTATTATTATTACTATTCATTTGTAAGGCTTTAGCTGATATCATACCAAAAGAAACACTAATGTGGAAGCTGAAGCTGCTCAAGTATGGATCTGAATATGCCAATTCCCGTCTCCATGCGGTCACAGCTGAAGTTCTTGTACTTGCTAGGTCCCGTTCTTCATCTTCCTTTATTTAAGACCTTTCTTTATTCAGTTGTGTCTTATTTTTCTTAACATTTCCCTGTGAATCTATGAGCATGGACTGATGTTTTTATTACTAGGAGAATTTGCTGATATGAAGTATGCTGAAAATGTAAAATTCAATGACAGTGGGAAAGACAACATGCTTCCAAGTGCAAGTGAAGCCGAAAGGCTTGCAAGGTCATTAAGAAACTGCAAAGTACGATACTTTAAGAGCAATGGGCACACCATCTTGATGGTGGGTAATGAGGATTTGTTATGATTATACTTTCTTGATTGGGAAAGTGACACCCTTGTTTTTGTTCCACCACAGAAGAATCTGCCAAGTAGTGATGATATTAGGCACAGTAGTAGTCTTTTGATAAGTGCTGATCATGATCATCATCATATTTAGAGTATTGGTTTGCTTCCATGATTTATGCAAGCTTTATCATTTAAATCCCAGTTTAATGCCTGCTATGCTACAAAACTTGTGCAGGAAGACCATGTCAATTTGTTAACTATCATAAAATGTACAAGTAAATATCGGCGTTCAAAGAGCCACGACTTTGTCTTGGACTATATCCCACCTAGCATGTCAGAATACAAGCAATCCTTGGATATCAATAGGTGGTAGTTTCGTTCTTCCAAATAAATAGTTGCTTCCTAGATTTCTTGTTTGTTGTTTAATTCATCTGCCACGTAGGTGTTAGTCTTCCCTTGCTCGTGTATCTTTTTTCCGGGATAGATCCCGCATAATCCTGTCTTAGCTCTACCTGACCAGGCCCAGGATAAGGGTGCACTCGAGTCGCGCCAAATCGAATAGTCAAAACTCAAACCCTGGTTGAAATAAAAAGCAAAGCTTGAGCTCGACCTAACTCTATTTCGAAACTCAAATCAAACTTTGAAGCAGCTCTGCTTAGATAAGCTCAATTTTTAATTTTTTCTTTCATTTATGATTGATTCATACTACCTCCGTCCCAAAATGAACTTCCCATTTTGGATTACGATGCTTGACCGACGATAAAGCAACTCGATCCCTGTTCATACTCAGATTACTTTTAGTAAATAAAATTTACATATTGAGAAATTACATTAAAACCGCTACAAAGGCTGATAAAAAAATATAAATTTGATATATAAAACATAAGATTAAGAGTAATTTAAGTTGACCATGTGAATAGTAACTGTGAAGTTCATTTTGGGACGGAGGGAGTATTAAAAATTATATATTTTATTTTTATAAAACATTGAAGTATAATAAAAAGTTTCACACATACATTGATACATGCATGTAAGAAATTACGTACAATAGAAAATCTTGATTGGGCTCATTGCGTCATGTATTAAATTACTGGAATTTGGCTTAGACACAACAATGTCCCAAACAAATTTAAGTAGGGAAAATTCCCTAAATAGGAGTAATTATTGCCAAATTTAGAAAATACTGTCATGTTTAAAGTCTGGTTATGCCAAAGCATGGCGGTGATTACTCCTATTTATTAGGGAATGAAAACATGATAGTCCTGTTTTGGAATTCTTGAACGTTTTTACTTTTATTTAGGGAATTTTTTTATTCAAGTGTTTACAGAGCTTATCTCAAGTAGCTCACAAATGCTATTAGCCACCTACACCAGTTGGTCACCCGTGGCCTGGGTTGCAGACTACTGAGACTAGCACTTTTTTGAACACGTGTATTTATTTCAATGATGTAAAATGTATGTCAAAAATGAAAGGAGACACTAATAACAAGATGCAAAAAGTGCAGATTATATCGCAATTTTACAGGTGCTGCGATGTTTTCCACACTGGAAAATGGGAAAATGGTTAGAGGTTTAGATGGGGTTCCCTACGAAGGCCCGGTGTTATTTGTTGGTTATCACATGCTTATGGGGTTAGAACTTGTGCCTCTAATTGAAGAAATGCTAACAGTAAAAAAGGTATTACTTCGTGGTTTGGCACATCCCGCACTGTTTTCACCATTAGTTGAGAACGAGGGCCTTAACGAGGTGTCTTTCAACGATTCCATAAGACTATATGGGGGTGTGCCGGTCTCAGCTAGTAACCTCTTTAAGTTGCTTGCAAACAAGTCACATGTTCTTCTTTACCCCGGAGGTGCTCGTGAGGCCTTACATAGAAAGGTGCTCTTTTTCTTTCTCTTTACTCATCTCAATTCAAAGCCTATTTGGGTCTTTGGGATGACTTGTGTTAAAAAGTGCTTTTGTAAGAAGTGCCTTCCTCATTTAAGCACTAGTGCAGTTTGGAAGAACTTTTGATTGAAATCTCCAAAAGTAACTCAAAATCAAGAAGCATCCTACCAAGTGCCTCTATTCAAAGCACTTTTAAGGGCTTGTTTGTTTCGGATATTCATTAAGGGAGGGAAGAGGAGGATTGGTTTTTTTACTAATTTTTCTTTGTTTGATAGTTTTAAACTGGATATAGTTACACATATAGTTAAGATAATGTGTATATCTAAATAGCACTTTATCGTCACTTTATTTCTCACTAGTTAAATGTTGAATTTATTTTAAAAATCACCCCTCTCCAAAATCATTGATCCAAATAAGCCCTCAAGTTCCTTTTGGAAGTACTTTTAAAAATGTCACCTAAACACATCTTTTTACAAGAAAAATGCGCTTTTGAACCTCTCGAGGCTCGAAGAAGCACATTCAAATGCTAACTAAACACTAAAGCCAATTTGGATTTCATAAAATGCTACTCCCTCCGTACCATTTTATCCGTCTCATTTTCCTTTTTGGGTTGTTTCAAAATAAGTGCACATTTCGTTTTTTGGAAAAAAAATATGTGAATCATTTCACTTTATTATACTCAAATTTGAACCTCAACTTTTAGGGCATGTGTACTAACAAAGATATTTTCCAGTTTTCTATTTCTGTTTTCCGTTCTCCAATTTTTTGTTTTCATTTTTCAGTTTTTCTATCTCCAATTTTTTGTTTTCATTTTTTAGTTTTCCATTTTCAAATCTGAAAACATGTTCATACAATTTTTTTACCCGGTTCTGTGACCAACCAAAACACCGAAAGAACGGTCCTAGTCTGGAACTAAACCTTGTACAACACAAGTAGGGTAATGGGTCCCACATATAGAAAAGTTGGGACTGAAAAGGCCGTCAATCTCAACAGTTAGTTTGATGAATTCTTTTTCCATTTCCTTATTGATTGACAACTCAACGGTTCTTTTAAAACTTTTCACTTTAAAAAATGATTTCGAAAAACCGAGATCGAATCGTCGGGTCATTGACCGGCCCATACAGGGACCGCTGGTTGTTTATGGGACTGGCCCGTGACCGCCCGGTTTTCAATCAGACCGAACACAGACCGTTGGTCATTTGCCAGACATGATGGGAACCGCCGAGTCATTGATCAGACCGGAAGGGGACTACCGGGTGGTTGACTGGATCGGACAGACACCACCGGATCATTGACCGGACTGGACAGGGACTGCCGAGTCATTGATCGGACCGGAAGGGGGACCGACGAGTCGTTGACTAGACCGGATAGGACCGAGAATGCTCGGTCATCGATCAGACCGGACAGAGACCGCCGTCGACCGCCAGCTGTGGATCAGACCTGAAAAGGACCGTCAGATCATCGACTGGACCGGACAGGGACTACCGGGTCACGGACCAGACTAGACAGGGGCCGCCAGGTCATGGACCGGTCAAGGATCGTCGGGTCGTGGTCCGGACCGAACAGGGACCATCAGGTCGTCGACCGGACCGGGACTGTCAGGTCGTCGATCGGTTTGGACTGATTGCTCGGCCGTCGACCGGACCAGACATGGACCGTCGGGTCAATGACCGGATTGGACCGGATAAGCAGTGTCAGGTTGTTGACCGGACCAGACTGGAACTGACACCGGAGCGGGTGCTGATCCAACACTAGGCGTAAGTATGCAAATTTATTGCAATGGCAGGTGCATCATCCGTTTTTTCCAAATTTGGAAAACTAATAAAAGTCATTTCTCCAATTTATTAAGGAAAACAGAGACATCTTATTTTTTTGGTTTTGGAAAATGATTTGGTAAACGTAATTTTCTGTTTTTCTTTCTCCAGTTTTCTGGCAATTTTCTTTGGTAAACACATTTTCTGTTTTCCTTTTTCCGGTTTTCTGAAAAAACTGGAAAATATCTCTGTTAATAAACAGGACCTTACTTTTTCAACCATTTTATTAATAAGTATGCCAAACCAAAGTAGGACACATAAAGTGGGACGGATGCAGTATTTAGTTTCCTTTAGAATGTTGTTCGATTGATTTTGATTTTTCCTTATTTAACTACCAGGGAGAAGAGTACAAGTTAACTTGGCCGGACCAACCAGAATTTGTGAGAATGGCTGCTAGGTTTGGAGCTACAATTGTGCCGTTTGGTGTTGTTGGAGAAGATGACATAGTACATGTATGCTCTACCAACTTGTGCCTTCGTTTATAGACTTTATCCTTTATTATATTTTTCCTGTGAGTGGAATTTGCTTTGTTGTTGTTCATTTACTTTTAGTAGCTGCTATTGCACATCCTCGGTTCGTCATCCTCTTTTTCATTTACAAAAACTTATATTTTTGTTATTGTGTGGAGGGAGTGGGGTATCTAGTAATTAACATGTAATGTGGCAATGCTTTGTGCAGTTAGTTCTTGATTATGATGATATGATGAAAATTCCTATATTGAGCAACCGAATAACAAGTTGTAATGAAAAGGCGGAGAGAATGGGATTTACATTAAGGTAACTGTCCTTTGCAGGGTTACTTGTCTTTTTTCATCTTACATATTATCCCAAACTTGGTGCAGTAATTCTTGTACTTTCTTTGTTCACATTTTTATGTAAGGGAGCATTTAATAACAACTTTCCACTGTTGCCATTCTTTTTAATCTGAGTTGTCAAATACTCCATCCCAATTAAAAGGTCTTGTTTTCAATTTTCTTTTTTTTTGTCCCAAGAAGACTGTCATATTTCACAAAAGCAGAACTAGTTATATTGTGTAAAGGGCAGCCCGGTGTACATTGGCGTCCCCACAAGGTGAGGTTTGAGAAATGGTACCACCACATGGGGGTATAAGGAGCAAACATTCCCTTGTCATTTTGACAAGAGACTGCTCTCAAGACTTGAACCCGTGACCTCGTGGTCAGACAACAACACCATAATTGGTGCGCTAAGGCTCCCCTTCAACTAGTTATTTTGTGTAATTTGTGATAAAAGAATACAAACAAGTTAAGCATGATAAATTTAGTTTTGAGAGAAGCATCACATTGAACTTGAAAGGTCGCACCTTGACAAAAAAGAGACCTTCTTAGACAGATGAAATAAAATGATTTGTTATTGATCCAACAACGGTATTAATCAAGACAATTTAGGTATAGAACTAACTTGATTTATTTATATGTGTTGAATAAACGATTGCAGGGGTGATATGAATGGAGAGGTTGCCAATCAAGCTTTATATGTCCCGGGATTGTTAGCCAAGATCCCCGGCCGCTTGTACTACTTGTTTGGAAAGCCTGTTTCAACAAAGGGGAGGTGGGAAGTGTTAAAGGACAGGGAAAAGGCAAGAGAATTGTACATGGAGATAAAATCTGAGGTTCAAAACAGTATGACCTTTTTACTTAAGAAAAGAGAGGAAGATCCATATAGAAGCATTGTTGATAGGACTGCATATAGGGCTCTTGCTGCCCCTTATGATCAAATCCCCAGTTTTGATATTGATTGACTGATTATTGAATGTACAAACTAAATGAACTCACACATTAGGTGCCTCTCATCAAGTTTGTAATTTGTTTCTGGTTAATTTTATACCATGATGTGTAATTGTAATTCATTTATGATGCATTATGTATATAGTGTTATTCTCTAATTATCTCTTGATGATTATAAGCGGTTAATTATTGGACATTCATCTCATTCTAAGAAGGTTGCATCAAGAACATCATCTAAAGTAAAAAGGTAATTATGTTTTTTTTTTGTTTCGGACTTTCGGGTTTTTTGTATTGTCAATTAATTCTAAGCAATGAGTTGACATATTACAAGTTTCATGCAACAAACCCAGAGAGTAGTTTCCCATATGAAAGGGAGTTTCAAATATGATGATGCCTCCCTGCCTAAAGCAGAGCTGCAGAGGTATGAAAAAATCTATGTTCGAAAGTTCATGAATTGTATTTTTTGTGCAAAATCATTATTACATAGAGATAAATTAAACCCCAATGCATTGCATCAAAAGCATCAAGGTTTAAATAATAACATATTTTGTTAGCTTCCAAATATTTGATTATTCAGATTTTTTGTATGACAAGCATGAAGAATCCCTCCTCTTCCTCCACAAGTGCATTAGTGCATATTAGGCATGGACCGGGCCCGGTCCGGGTTGGGCTCCGGGCTGGGTCAAGCAGGCTTTTTTTTTCTGGAATGTTGGGCGTGGAACCGGCCCGGGTTGATACCGAGTCCGGGCCAAACCGGGCTGGGCCGGGCCGGTTCAATGCATTATATTTTTTCTTTCTAATTAACCCCCGACCCCCCCCCCCCCCCCCTCACCCCCACCCCTCAAACCTCCCCAAAACACCTAGCCGGGCCAGCCCTACCCAAGGAAAAGAAAAAAATTGAAAAAATGAACCGGGCTCGACCCCCACTGCCCGGTTTGGTTCATGAAAATCAAGGCCCGAGCTTGGCCTGCCAGGCTCGCCCAAATCGGGCTAAAGCCCGGAACCGGCCATCCGGGTCCGGTCCGGTTCGGCCCGGTTGGGTCCATCCCTAGTGCATATGCATAAATTAGGGCTGGACAAATTAGTTTGGTTCAACCGAATCGAATCAAACCGAAAAATGGTACTTTGGTTTGGTTTGGTTTGGTTTGATTTGGTTTGGGTTGGGTTCAACTAAGTAAACAGTTTGGTAACAACATGCTCAAACAGAATGTTTTGGTTTGATTTTAAATCGAAACAACTGTACCCCGAACAATATTTCATATTTATTAAAAAATACTTTGACATTGTATTTACTCATCATCCTTAGAATATAAATAAATAACTTAGATATGAAAAACACCTGTTTCATTAATATATACTATTTTAACTTTTACATGTTTTATACTTCCCTTATGACAAAGATGTTTTAAAAACACATTTTATACATACTAGTTTCTCTACTCGTCCCTTGCACGAGATAAAATGATTTTGTTTTTCAGTTTTACTATATGTGCGCGTGTGTGCATTGATATATGTATGCATTATAATCACTAACACAAAATCATTTATTCATTCGACTATAACATTGATTTATACTTGATAATTCGTATTATCATTTATTGAGTATGTCTTATTTTTTAACTAATTTTATATTCTAAACATGTTCTTGGTCAGTCTATATTTTCCAATTAAAAGGGTCAATTTTTTTTATTACTCTCAGTTACATCAAAATGAAAGTATTCTTTTTAACCATCTTTACCTATTAAAAAAATGAAGTTACTCAGCGCATATTTTTATCATATAGATTTAGTCTGTGGCTTACTGCTTTTTCCAAATTAATTACGTGTGTTGAGGTTTATTCCTTCAACTCCAAAGGATGCACGCAACACCTTCCTTTGGGTTTCGAGTGGAGAGTTTAGTGGATTATATGATGCATGCAAGTGAAGGATGAATAAGTAACAAGAGTAGTAAGTGAGTTGTAACTTATTCAAATAACAATAAGGGTCCGTATACAACATACTTCACTACAAGCCCAACAGACCGTTCGTTTATCTCAGCTAAGAGGAGGGGAGATAATTGCTATTGCTATAGAATACAAGTTGCCAACCCTTTACAATGAAATAAATGCTGTTATGTATACTACCAAGGGGTAGACGATGTTGATGATGTGGAGGCTTCTGAGTGGCTAGCTTCCCAACCACCAAATCTATTGCATTAAATGTGTTTCCCACCAATATCCAGGTTTCCCACCAAAAGAGCTGGATGAGCGTCCCCCAGATCTTGGGTCCTGGTTCTAGTTGAGCATGAGGGATGGGATGTGCTCGGCTTACACGAACTGTCATGCTGAAGATCATGGAACATCATCTAGCTCCTGTTGGGCCAACGCCATTGGCCGAGAGTCCTCGTAGGTAAGACGAGCGTCTGGCCGACATTCTTTCCGATCCATGCCCAAATTGGGCTTTGATGGTTTTCCTAGGGCCATTGATGGGGATCTCCTTCACACTTGAGCCTAGTGTGGAGGTTGGCGCTGATGTCAACACTGCTGCCATCGTCCCCACCCAAGCTGGTTCCGCTGCCCCTGTCTGGCATGCAGATACCACCAGTTTTGAGAAAACGACGAAGTTCGAGGCCGCTGCTCAGAGATATGCAAGAGGTGCGCTCGGTGATGTCTTCAAGGAGGAGCTCTCCGGGCAGCCCAAGAGACAGCGCCTCGGCCACGGGGCCATGCTCTTGAATTGGACTCCTCTCGGCCGCCGTTTTCTCCTTGAATTGACGGGAGATAGCTTGACCGAAGGCTACTATGATGCCGTGGAGGTCGTGATGCCGATTCTTCACAAGGGCTTTAGAAATCAGTTCTGTATGTTCGAGCATACAGAGGATGAGGAACTGGTGGAGGCCGCTGCCAATCTGGCTCGTAATCAGGCCCAGTCCCGGGCCAGAGAAATGGGGGAAGTGCCTGAGCCTCCAACCCCCGTTCCCGATTCTGATGAAGAAGAGGTCGTGCAGGATGCAATGGAGCAGACACCTCCCCTCCCCTGAATATGTCCTTATTTTTACTCCATACTAACTTCATCTTCCTTATTTGTACATTCCGGCTGGTAGTGTCGAAGAATGAAGACCAACCTTTTGCTTGTTCATATTCCCTTATACTTGCACTCATCTCTACTTGTTGTGATCACATGCTTAAGTATCCAAGAGTGCTCGTCTTTTGTTGCCTTTGAGTTTATTTTATTTTCATCTAGACGTTCATCCTCTTCCCTAACCATGTTGGGGATTCGATCTCAAATAGAAATTTAGCCCGGTCGCCGGTCATCCTTGTTAAGCATTCTATATTGCAGGACTGTTCTCCGTGGGCCGCCCGTCCCTCTCCGGGGATGGTGTGCTCGTCTTGGCCTGGATCTTTTCCGAGGCTCGAGTTGCTCTGTGGTTAAGGACGCATAGCCGTGCGTCATACTAACTGATGGATCGCCGACCCTGGGGGTAGCCGGAATCCGGAAAAGTATAGGAGAAGATTGGAAAAGTTTAAGTGAGATCAATTAAATACTTTAACAGAGTAACAACAAGAGAATTTAATTTCGGATCCCTTTCCACATATTGGAAGGTGATATTTATACTAGAAGGGTAATACTTGGTGCCCAAGTAAAAAGATGCTATTTTATTGTGGAGAGGACACGTGTCCAGCTGCCTAATAGAATAATGAGACTAATCTAATGGGGTGTTCCCACATGTAAAGGTGAATGGAGAGATAAACGAGATAGCTGGCTGATTGGAACTGCATGTAACAAGCTGGTACCAGAATACACGTGTGGGTTACACGTGTATTATCCGGAATATTCTTCATTTTATCTGCTCGGAGTGACGTGGCACCTCTTAGAGTACTGACACCTCTCAGAGTACTGGTGTGCTCATTGTTGGCTTCGCTTGACTTTGGTTGACCTTGCGTCTGTAACACCGTCCCCAAGTATATTTACTTTTAGTAAATCATGTAATAAACCTTGAATAATGATTCGTGAATTTACGAGGTTGTAAATTTTTGTTATTACGTTCGCGTGAATAATGAATTGCACGTGGGGCCCACATCGGGAGCGGGGACCACCCGATAAACCCGGGACCACATATTATATTCATCTTGGTCTAGATAATATGTATATGGTGGTAGATATTTTAGTTGGGCCATAGGAAGGGCATAGGGTTGACCCGTCGGTCAAACGAGGCCCAATTACCGGTATCGGTAATTTATCAGATAACAACCCGGAACGGATTTCGGGGACGTCTAAATTAAAGTTGGGGAATGAATACTCATTCCAAAAGTCCATAATGATGGGAAACACAAAATATATTTTATTTGATCCGATAAAATAAAATATAATTTAAACAGTCCGAAAAATACAACCTTCGGGACCGATTGTCCAAATCGGGGCACAAAGGGATGACCTCCCACATGAGTGGGGGCCACCCCACGTTTTTATGTTCAATTTTGACAAGGGGGGCTGCATTATGGGGTATGAGTGATTGAGGTGAGGGGGCACCTAAATTAAATGGAGGTGGACCCCTTTTCTTTCACTTATTGCTCAAAGAGACAAAAGAGAAGCCCACCCCCTCCTTTCCTCACCCAAACTTCGGCCAGAACCAAGGGGAGAGAGAGAGGAAGCTCTGCAACTCCATTCTCCATAGCCAAAGCATGCTCAAACAACAAGAAACTCAAGGAAGAAAAGGAAGCAGCAAAAGTAGAGGAAAACTTGGAAAATAAAGGTGAGAAGTTCTTTAATAACTTTTCTTCCATCATTTGATTTCCATACGTATCCTATATCATATGGAGGACTCCAAGAATCATTCTACACATTTAGAAGTGTAGAAGGAGGGGTTGGAAGGTAGTTCTAAGTCCAAGGGCGGACTTAGAAGCCAAACGACCGGTTCACCGGAAAATAACCTTTTAGGGGTTATTTGTGTTGATATGGGTTTTGTGATGATAAAACCATGTTAGGAGCTTGACTAAAGTGCTTCTTGAGTTCGCCGGAGTTTCGCCAGAGTTTCGCCGGAGTTCCACCGGAGTTCAACCAAAAAGAGTAGAACTTCTTAAAGCTCATTTGAGGTGAGTGGATGGCTTAATGTCTTGTAACTTTTGGGTTAAGCATGAGATTACCTAAATATATGTTATGTGTGTTCATAATAATGTTTAAATGAATTAAACATGTGATTAGCCAATTAAAATGATTAGGCTTGTATGAAGTGAACTATTGA